CTGTCCAGCTGCGCCCCCCCCCGCCCCAGCTCTGCGCGCGCTGCACCTGCCGGCGCGGTAGGCCGTTCAACCGCGCCCTACTGGCCGCGCCCTGGCGTCGTAGCTGGAAGCGCGGGCGGCCGCCGCGGGAGCTGCTGCGCTGGCGCGCGCCGCCCCCGAGCTTCCATCTGGCGCGACGCAGTTGCGCGCAAGGCGGCGATCGACTTCTCCAGCTGGATCTGCCCGGCGGCGATCTGCCGCGGCGGGCGAAGGGTCTCGCTGGAGGCGTCGCCCGAGCTGGCAGCGGCCAGACGATTGACTGGAGACAGCGGCGCCCGACTCGCGGCGTCGCGGTCGCGCCGGGCGCCTCGGGCTCGGCCTTCTGGCGCTGGGCCGCCGCGCGTCGCGAGTCCGCCGCCGCTGGCCATTGCGGGGCGGTTCGCGCCAGAGTCCGCGCAGCAGGCGCCCCTGGCGGAGGTGCCCGGGCCGCCGCCAACGCCTGCCGACGCGGGTCTGCGCGGCCCAGGCGCGCGAAACCCTGTCCACGCAGTGGGCGCGCTGCGCGCTGCCGCTTGCGCGCGCGCGCGCGCCAGCTCCTCGGGCGTGGACTTCTCCGGCTCGCACCCCTGATAGGCCACTCGCATGGCGCGACGTAGACACGCCAACCACCGCCCATGCGCATTGCCACCGTGCCCCACCGGCGCGAGCACGCGGCGGCACGCGCAGCGCGGCCGCGGGACGACGCGCGCGCTCGACGCGGTTGGTCGGCCGGAAGCGACGGTCAAGCATCGCGCGGCCGATCTCGCCTGCAAGCTCGACAGCCAGAAGACCGCGGCCCCCGCTAGTGCTGCCCGCAAGCGCTGGCCACAAGTCACGTCGGACGGCGGCGCTGCTCCGGCGGCGTCGCGAGGGTTGGACCGCCCAGCTCGCCCTGTCCCCGAGCTGCTCGAAAACTCTAAACCTCGTGCCCCCCCAATAGAATTGGCGGTACGGTGGGGCCAGATCTGCTCCGACTTCCTCGCTTGATCCCCCGTGCTCGATGGGGGGGGGAGGGGGCGCTGGGCGCTGGAAATTTCGAGCGGCCGGCCTGCCTGGGGGGCATGCCGACCCGACGGGCCCCCATGTAACCTCGGCCCGCCGAATCGTTCAGCTGCCCTGGACTTGCTGCGCCCCTATCGGGTTGGAGCAGAGAAGGGAATGGCCAATCTCAGACGGGTGAGCGATGCAACCAGTAGCTCGAGACTCGCCGGCACTTGAAAGACCCCATCCGACGACTGAGAGCGCCGATTCAAGGCAGACGGCGAGCACTTGAAAATTGCGCCCGCCTCGGGATACCAGGAACCGCTTAGACGCATGGCGCGGGGCCCAGCGGGGCCCGCGGCGGGGCCCGCGCAGGACGTCTAGATAACGGCCGCCCAAATGCCCTGAACGCCAGCGGGCGCCAGAGCCGCGCGCAGAACATTCGCGCCCCCCCCTGCCCTACTCCGCGAGCCGAAGGATTGCGCGTTTGCACCTCTGGAATGCGGAAGCCGCTCATGCTCAGAAACTAACGGCGGCGATCCAGAACAGGCATGCCGATGAGTCCCTGACTGGAGGCCCCCTCGTCGGCCCGCGCCGTCGTGAAAGCGATGGTCGCCCGGCCCAAGGCGTGTGCGCTCAGCTGGTTCGGGTCGACGATGTTCGCGTAGACGCAGCCGGCGGAGTAACCGAAGGCTCCTGCGTTTGCACTGGCGTTTCTGCTCTGGCTCTTCCGCGCCGGATGCTCGCGAGACGACTTGCTTCTCTGATGGGAGAAATCGGCGGTGCGTCCTTTTGACCAGCTCGGACTATCAAGCGTGATTTTTTCGGCCTGAACTGTCCGTTCGTCGCCCTGTGGCCGCGTTGCTGGTGCGCTTTCCTCTGGGCGGGCTCAGGCTTGTCCTTGCTGAGATCGCGGGACTTGCGGTCTACCATCTTATTGTGCTTGAGGTCTCGTTTTTGTTTCCATGCCTTGCGCTTCTCCTCTTGCGTGGTGGCGAAGGCCTGGGGGAGCTCATCATCGAACAGATCAGTACCTTCAAGCGTCACGCGTACCTCCTGTTCACCGTCTGTGTCCACTGATGATTCGTCGTCGTCGCCATAGTCAAGAACTGAAGTCTGATCTCCAGCGTCTGTCACTACGGAGTGCGAACTCGGCTCAATCGCGGGGAAACTGCCATCGGTGACGTGCGACCTCTTCTGGTATGGCAAATGCTCTCGACGAGTGATGACGTCCATCTCTCGGATGGCTGGCAAGGCCTCGTGATGCGAGTCCCGAGATGTCATCATGACGTTCATGCACTACTGGCCTCGCTCATCTGAGCCGACGCCCTCGTGGAACCGGAAAACCTGGGGTGGCAACCTTATCCTCCATATTTTTCTGGAACTTTAGCGGTAGAGTCTTCGGAATCCGATCAGCGTGCTTCTCGGGTGTCACGTCTGTGCGTTGCCGCCACCTGGCGATCTGGCGCCTCCACAGTTTGAGCTCGTTCCAGCTAGACCAAGCCTCCGATCTTTTGAAATACTTCCGTCGCTGGTCGTTCCACCCGCCGGCGATCCAAACGTCGTTCTGGTCCCAAAAGTCCAGCCCCAGGACTTCCAGCCCTTCCAATCCCCGCCGCCATGAAGAGCGGCGGCGGCTGCACCATCTGAAACGCCTCGCTCACAGGAGCGCCCCTGTCTCCAAGGATCAGCCGTCTCGTCCAGCCACGGGCCTCCTTTCGATGTGCTCTGCCACTGGCTCGTCCTGTGCTGGCGATTGCGCGTGGTCGACGTGTTCGGCTGGACTCCTGAACCTGGTCGCGCACGAGGTCGAGGACCTGCTGAACCTGTAGCTCTGACACTCCTGTCGGGGTGGCCGGTGATGTCGCTGCCACTCCATCGAGCAAAATTAACTGCTCTTCCATAGGGCGACGATATCTATACATATCCACTGCTCCTGGCCAGGCCAATCCTGGGCCCAAGAGCTGTGTATACGCCCTCCTGGCTTGGCCAGGGAGGCATATACACCGCTCCTGGGCCCAGGATGGGCCTGGCCAGGAGCAGTGGATATGTATAGATATCGTCGCCCTATTCCATTCGGCGGCACGCCCCGGCGAGGAGACGAGGAGAAAAAGGCGTCCCCACAGGGCGCTGAAGCCCCGCAGGTTTCCGAGAAGCCCCGCCGCCTTCCGAGCGGGCCCCCCGCCCTCGCTTGCCGCCGACCCACGAGGACTATGCTGGCCGACGTCGCTGGCCCACTGTCACCTGCTGTGCCCGGAGCTGCGGCGGCCCGTCCCCAGCCTGCCGACGTTGTGTCGGGTCGGGCGAAAAGGGGGATAGCAAAGGGGGGGTTTGAGAATCAGCTCACGTAGCTGATTTTCCCGGCGCCTCCCGGCGCCGGAGGCGGCCATGTATCGAGGAATTGGCCCCTCGGTGAGGCCGAAACCAGCTGCATGCAGCAAATTTCGTAACCCCCCCTTTCCCAATCCCCCCCTTTCGCCCGACCCGAGTTGTGGCGCTGGGAGAATTAGCGCGGCGCTCTTCCGGTGCCATCCGTCGAGCCGGGGGTCGACTGCAGAATTGATTTGCCCCGGAATGCACGTTCCCTTTCGAATCTACAACGAGTGCGTGGATGTCCCGCAAATGTGCGGATTTTCGCTGATTCGACGAATCAGTTCTGTAAATCAATTGCGTAGTCGATCCCTTACGCGAATCTGGTCCGCGGATCAGAGCCTCATGGGGGAAGGTCCGCTACCCTGACCGACTGCATCGATAGATCACAACATGAACCCCTCAGATTGCCTCACCTTCGGTCCTAGTGCGAGCTGTGACCGCGCAGCCCTGTTGTACACCCGAAGAAGCAAGATGCCTGGAGTAAGACGTGAGGCTGAGTCTGGACGTAGTGAGGTGATAGTGATCAGGTTAGCAACAAGGAGGGGATAATAATATGTGGCCTTGAGCCGAAAGGTTACGGAAGTGACCCAAATTCCTAGTTCAACTGTTCAAATCCAGGGGGTGAGGGTCAAACCCCTCGCCTGACTAATGAGCCGTTGGCACTCGTTCCCACATAATCCCCGGACATATCCTGGGGTGCGTTCTTATCAGGATTTCGAGGCGAATCCAGCGGTGTCGACGAGGAACTCCCAGGAGGCCCCCCGAAGGGGAAAACGGGCAAAGGGTAGCGGTATGGATCCCTTTTCCGCATCGAACTCTCGATCCCCAGAAGACGACGGCGGGGGGCCGAAAACTGTACATTGACTTCTTCAAGACGCCGGTGATCTATAAAACAGGGCTAAGATTAAATCGCTCCAGAGCGTTCCGGAGCGCTCTCAGGGCGTTCCGGAACGCTCCGGGGCGGCCGCGGCGCCCAATACATCCTCCAAACCCGCCGATCCTCAGAGATTTCGAGTTATCCCGATCCGATGTTGTCCCGATCTTCGCGTCGTTTTAGGGGGGCCGAAAAATGTACATTGACTTCTTCTAGATGCAGGTGACCTACACCCTGCGAAATGCTTAAAAAATCATGGGTTAAGAAATTCAGAGTCTCAGAATTTGAATACATAAAACCCGAATTCCCATTAAAATCTTAGGATTTACATTGAAACATTAAGAATAATCGAGACTCTGGCCGAAAACTTAAGTTTTCTTAAGCATCGCCTAAGGTGTAGGCCCCCGCCTCCGCCATCCTCCTCCACCTCGTCCTGAAGCTACCGCGCTCTCCAAGCCCGAGGGGTGTGCTCGTCTCGGGTGGGCCCCCCCTCTGATTGCCTCCTCCTCCTCGTCCTCCTCCACTTCTCCTTCCCAGTCCTCCTCCTCCTCCTCCTCCTTTTCCTCCTCCTCCTCCTCCTCTTCCTCATCCTCCTCTAGCTGTCCCCTTCGTCCAACTCCCCCTCCTCCTCCTCCTCATCCTCCTCCTCCTCGTCTTTCTCCTCCTCCTCCTGATCCTCCTCCTCCTCCCCCTGCCCGTTCCAAGATCGGGGGTGAGGGGTACCGCCGATCTCGATTGGTCCCTCAATGATCGCCTCCTCCCCAGGCTTGTTCACGTCGAAGGACCGAATGATGATCATGTAGGGAGAAGACAGGAAGTCCCTCGGGGGTATGGGCACCTGTGAGACAGAGCGATAAGAAGAGACCGGCTCAGAAGGGGAAACACTGACTTGAACATCGAAATTCAAATCGGCGAAACATCGTCATTATACACATCGGCAATGAGCCCTCGATAGCGAAGCCGCACATTCCTGAGCGGGCCGGGCTATCAGGCCCCTTCTCAGCGATTCATGGGAGGATGGGGGTCGATGCATTCGTCCCTGAGCCTATCTCCTAAGGTTGCCCCTGACCTCTCTGACCCATCCCCAGGGTACGTTGCTTGTTTCATAGATTTTGATGTAAGTGCCAGCACGATGTAACAAAGCACCGAGGCAGACACCCATGCTCGAGGACCGACATGCGTGCAGCTGCGCTGGGCCTCCCGGGGCCTCAAGGGGCACCCGAAGACCTCTGGAAGGCCTCTGGGGTAGCAGCCAACATCGAAGCAAGATCGGATCGGACCGTGCATCGAATTGGGCTGCACCTGCACGGAGTCGGAATCGCATCGCGTCGCCCTCGCCAGCACGCACGACATCGCCATGCAAGCAAGCATTGGGTCGCATCGGATCGCCCAGAACTCGGAATCGAATGGGATCGGGCCGGCCGAAACCGACATCGAATCGATCGGATCGACATGGGCTTTGGGAGGAGAGAGGGGGACAGGACATCCCTGGGGCTGGAGGACACCTGCGTGCACAAGTACTCGCACACGACCTCGATGTTGTACTTCAGGACGGCGCTGAGCGGGATGATGGGAGAGCTGTCCGCCGCGGTGCCCGCCACGAACTTCTTGATCTCCTCGTATTGCGCCTGCGCCTGCGCCTCCTTGATCAACTCCACCTTGTTCTGGAGGATGATGATGTGCTTCAGGCGCATGATCTCTACTGCGGCCAGGTGCTCCGACGTTTGGGGCTGCGGGCACGACTCATTTCCAGCGATGAGCAGCAGCGCGGCATCCATCACGGCAGCACCGTTCAACATGGTTGCCATCAAGATGTCGTGCCCTGGGCAATCTACGAAAGACACGTGCCTCTGGAGCCTCCAATTGCCCCCTTCGTCATCGGGAACGACGTCTGGCGTCTTGCTGCCGAAGGAAGTGTAGTTGGCAGGTCGCTCGAGATCCTCACGGTCGTTCTTGAAGATTTTAGCGTTGGCGTATCCTAGCTTGATCGTGATGTTACGCTCCTGACTACCTACCAGACCATCCCAACCTCGCACGAAAACGCACATTTCGGGTTAGAGGGGTACGGGTTCCACATGAGTTTTTCTCTGCTTTCCGACGCCCCCCCCACTGGGAATGGAGGGCAAAGTTGGGCCTTCGGGTCGGGTCGGGGTGGTTTGGTGGGTGGTGAGCTCCTTCTCCTGCTTGAAACGGATCGTGTTGGACCCGCTCAAGGCTCTGACTACCGTGGATTTCCCGTGTGCCACGTGGCCGATGGTTCCGACATTCATCGTTGCCTGTCGGCTGATCACCTCGGGCGACAGGGGCGTCAGCTTCGAGACGTCCAGCTTGGACAGATCCTGAACCGCCAGGCCATCGTCCGCATCGTCAACGTCGTCGTTATCCTCTGGGTCTGCCATCACGACTTCTGCGCTGTCTGGCCCAGGCAGTGCCGCGTCGCCCAGGGATGCTGAGCCAAGCTGGCTCGAGCCAGAACGGCTGCGGGCGGAGAGCATCAACTCTTGGGGGGGGGGGGGCGTACGGCGGGGCGACTCCATGGTTCCCTGCTCTTCCCCCTCCTCCCCTCTTCTTTCACCTCCTCCTCCTCCTCCTCCCCCTCCTCCTCCTCCTCCTCCTCTCCCTGTTCCCTCCTCCTCCTCTGCTGTAAATTCTCATCTGGCTCTTGCTGTAAATCCTCGTCTGCATCTTTACATCCTCCATCACATCCTCCGGTACAGCATCCTCTCTCTCACTCTATTCCCTTACTCTGCGTCACCACTGCCATTGCTTAACATACCTCACCGGCCACCCCACCAATCATCCTCAACCTCATTATGATCCACCACCTCGTCTTCCTCTTACTCTCCCTCCGCATCATCAACCACACCTCCTAGATTGTGCTTAACTCCTTATCCACCTCCTCGGCTCCCCTGCTCCTCACACTTCGTGCCGCTCCTACCAAAGCATCCGAGCACATCCCCCAAAACGCTGCCTGCCCCTCATCCTCCTCCTCCTCCTCCTCCTCCTCCTCGATCTCCTCCTTTACATCATGAGGCTCCGCATCATCTACAAGCGCGGTCTCCTCCTGCTTCTCGCCCTCCCCCCTCCTCGGCCCTGCTTCTCCACCTCTTCCCTTTTCCTCCCACCTCATCACGCGCCTAGGTCCTCCTAGGTCCTAGATGCTCGATTGCCCCGAAGCCCCCTACGCCCTATCCAAGGGATACGCAACAACGCATCAACTCCCCATCCTCTCTCTGCCCCCCCCCCTTCGTCCCTGATTCCTCTCTCCTCCTTCCTGTGTCATCCCATCTACCATCATCTCCTCTCCTCCTCTCCTGATCGTTCGCATCGTCCTGGTCAGACCTACAACGTTGTTTCCATAGCAGCGAATGACGCAATGCTCGAATGCGCATCGCGAGGGATATGCGGAATGCCGTGGGGAGCAAAATGACTGGCGCAACTTATGGCGCACCCTAAGGGCTGTAGACAGAGTTGCATAATCGCGGTCCGGTACACAGTCGGCGGACACATGCTGCTTGGGGGAAACAAAAACATCTGTCGTTCGAATAAGCTGCGTGCCGCCGCCGACATGCACACCCTCTCTGCGTGCCGACGCGCGTTGTCACGCAGATACTCTGCAGGCCAAGGGCGTCGGCACGGACAGCGTTTTGCTTTGCCGAGGGTGTTCGCTAGTGATTTAGGGCGCTGCTGTTTCTCGCGCAAGCTACGGCGACACCTAGAGAATGTAAAGCGAGCGAGGAAATCAAAACTCGGTGGGGGCGCGGGATCTGGAGGACCACATGGCGCAACCGAAGGCGAACACCAAAATTCGGTGGGGCCGTGGATCTGGAGCAACATATGGCGCAACATGTGGAAAGCAGGCCGCGGGCAGATCGCTAGGCTACGGGGTGTCTGGCGCAACCCATGGCGCACCCGATGGAAAGTGGTCAGAGTGGGCAAATCGCACTATGGCAGCGTGCAGGATGCCTTGCGCAGCCTACTGCGCAACCCAAGGTGGCCGGAGTGGGCATATCACTTTTCGGTGGGGCACGGCGTGTCGGGAGCAACCTGTGGCAAAACCTGGCGAAAGCATACAGAACGAGAGAATTGCAAATCTGTGGGCGCGGGGTGCCGAGAGCACCCGGTGGAAACTACAATTCGGCATGGAGCGGGATGGCCGAGGCAACCTGTTGGAAGGAAGTCAGGACGTGGAATCCGCGATGCGGCAGGCCGCAGAGTGTCTGGCAAAGCGCCTGGCAGGTTAGCCAACGACGGCGCAACCTACAGTAGAGGCCAGTCCACAAGAAACCTTCCACAAGAAACCCAACCCTGAGACCCTAGGGCGTCCCTGGATTTCTGGTCTGGGAGCGTCGCGCTCTCCACAGCAAAACCATTTACAACAACCCAAGAAGCCCAGGGCACCCTGAAGGCAAGCAGGGTGTGTCTTGGCATAGGCTCATACTGATGGGCCTGTCTTCCACCACCACCACCATGAGTTGGAGGGAGGAAGGAGGAGGATGAGGAGGACGAGGAGGAAAAGGAGGAGGAGGAGGTGAAGGAGGAGGAGGGGGGAGGAGGAGAGGGAGGGGGAGGGGGGAGGGGGAGGGGGAGGGGAAGGAGGAGGAGGAAGAGCAGGAGGAGGAGGAGGAGGACCCCCACTGTACGGAAGGCAGGCCGAGCGGGGCAATTGCCGCTCGGCGGGTCGCGGGGGGTCCACAGCGCCACCGCCGAGCGGCCCGCGCGCTCGCCCCAGCAGCCGGGCCGAGACGCGCGCCCGCGCCCTCGCCCGCGCGCCTCAGCGCGCCCTGCGCTCCTCGGCGTCGCCCTTCTCCTTCCGAGAGCAGAGGGGAAGCCGCCCCCATAAGACGCCCCCCCCGACGGGGGGGAGCCCCACCGACGAGGGGCCACCATGGGAGAAGCCCCCCGACGGGGGCGGAGCCCGCTGGCGCACCCGCAGAAGGCACCGAGCAGGGCAAGGATGTTTCTCCAACGCCAGGGCGGTTCAGTGAACGCCGATGCTCAGTTTCCTCCCCTTGTGAGCGTCTCCTTGTTCGGCGCTTCGACACTGGGCGGAAGAGGGGGGTAGGGGGGGGGATGGGATAAAGGAGGGGGGCTCTGCTCAGTGCGACTGTCTGCAACACTGCGTCCTGGGGGGGGAGCTGTCCACCTGCTTGAAACAAGCGCCAGAAACCACCAAAAACTACCCAATGGGGGGGGGGGAGGGGGTGCGAAGGCCGGCGCCGATGAGCGAAACAACAGACAAATCTCTATTTCTGCCCCTGGTCCTTGAGGGTGCCTGGCCGCGGCGAGATCTGCGAGGCGCGGTCGGGGAGGTCCTGGTCCATAGTCTCCTGTTCGGGGCGGTAGAACGGCACAGCACAGGCACAAGCCTCGAGTGGGGATTGACTACGGCACTGATTACCCCCAAAGAAACGTCCCTGCTGTATTCCCCCAGATACTCTTATACTCTGATTCGATACTACTCTTAGAACTCTCAGAACGCATTCGTCGTAAATCCGATAGGGGAAATCAAGTTTGGGGTCAATCAATTCTGTAGTCGATCCCGTACTGGCAAGCCTTCGGGCCCGAAGGACCCTGGCGTCGCAATCCTTGCACGACGTCGGATCGAGATCTGCTCGGATTTCGGTGGTCGGCGCACGACACAGGGCTCAAGGTGAATAGGGCGCAAGCTAAACAAAATTATTCGTTTTTGTTTTGTGTTCGCTCTGCCTCTGCTGCGAAACGAAAGCAAAACGGAAACGGTGCGCGGGATCACAAACAAAAAAAACAGTTTAGCTCGAACCCTGGCATGATCCTCCCTCCCCGCCATCCCTGGCGGCTCGCCGACTGGCGCCGCCCCCCAAGCGCGCTCCGCGCGCTGGGGGAGAGGTGTGGGAAAGGGTTGCGACGAGGCCAGCATGGGGATCCGCCGGCCCCCTTGCGGGGCCATCAGGCTGCAATTCCACTTTCCAGTTTCCATTGTTACAATACTGCTTTCTGCTTCCTACTGTAAATTGTTACTGTCCACGCGAAGGGGGGCCACCGAAAACCACCCTGGTGAGCACCCCTCGGGAGGGTTTTCAGAATTCCTGAGGGGGGTAGAAATTGACACCCTCACGCAAATCGGCGGGGCCAGGGTCCAAAAGCCCATTGGATTTGCCACATTCCTAAAATTCGGTGGCACCCCTCACGCAGATCGGCGGGGTCGGGGTCTAAAACAACATGGGATTTGCTACATTTCTGAAATTCGCTGGCACCCCTCAGTCAAATCGGCGGGGTCAGGGTCCAAAAACACATGGGATTTGCCACATTTCTGACATTCGGTGGCCCCCCTCACTCAGATCGGGGGGTCAGGGTAAAAAACGCAAGAGATTTGCAGCGTTTCTAAAATTCGGTGGCGCCCCTTCACTCAGAACGGCGGGGTCAGGGTCCAAAAACACCCAGGATTTGCAGCGTTTCTAAAATCCGGTGGCGCCCCTTGCGCAGATCGGCAGGGTCAGGGTCCAAAAACACATAGGATTTGCCACATTTCTAAAATTTCCTGCCACCCTTTTCGCAAATCGGCGGGGTCAGGCTCTAAAAACATGCGGGATTTGCCACATTTCTGAAATTCGGTGGCACCCCACGCATATCCGTCGCCCGAATCGAGCCAGAACGCTCCCGGAGCGGCCCGACGAGCATTTCGCGCGAGCTGGCGCGAGCGGGCCGCCCGAAATTAGGCAACGTACTGGAGCCCAAAACCAAATTAAAGAGCACTGAAAATGCACATTGGGAGCGGTTTATGTGGAGCCACTGACATTTTGCCGGGACGGCCAGAATCTGCCAGATTTGCCAGACTCGAGCGCGGCGTCGGCAGGACCGAAATCCAAGCCCAGGCGCTCCCCGGCGCGCCCGAGCGCTCCGTGCGAGCCGCCGCACCCCCGGAGCGGCCCGACGAACACTCCGTGCGAGCTGGCACGAGCGGGCCGCCCGAAATTGGGCCGGGGACGTACCGCAGCCCATGGTCAAATAAGTAATACAGAAAGACGTGTATTGGGAGCCGTTGTGGTGGGGCCACTGACATTTTGCCGGGTCGGCCAGAATCTGCCAGATTTGCCAGAATCGAGCGCGGCGTCGGCAGGACCGAAATCCAAGCCCAGGCGCTCCCACGCGCTCCCAGGCGCGCCCAAGCGCTCCGTGCGAGCCGGAGCGCTCCCGGAACGGCCCGACGAGCACTCCGTGCGAGCTGGCACGAGCGGGCCGCCCGAAATTGGGCCGGGGACGTACCGGAGCCCAAAACCATATTAAATGATACAGAAAATGTGTATTGGGAGCGGTTTTTGTGGAGCCACTGGCATTTTGCTGGGTCGGCCAGAATCTGTCAGATTTGCCAAGACTCGAGCGCGGCGTCGGCAGGCTCGAAAACCAAACCCAGACGCTCCCCGGCGCGCCCAAGCGCTCCGTGCGAGCCGCCGCTCCCCTGGAGCGGCCCGACGAGCACTCCGCGCGAGCTGGCACGAGCGGGCCGCTCGAAATTGGGCTGGGACGTACCGGGGCCCAAAACCAAATCAAATCAGGGAGCCGTTTTTGTGGAGCCACTGACATTTTGCCGGGTCGGCCAGAACCTGCCAGATTTGCCAGGATCGAGCGCGGCGTCGGCAGGCCCGAAATCCAAGCGCTCGCTCGGCCTGCGAGCCGGAGCGCCCCTCCTGGAGCGGCCCGGCGAGCATTCCGTGGGGGCCTGCACGAGCGGGGGCGCTTCCGGAGCGGCCCGCGGGGGCGCGACAAGCATTCCGTGGGATCCGGCGCGAGCGGGAGCGCTTCCGCAGCGGCCCGACAAGGCGCCCCAAGGATTTGCCACATTTCTGAAATCCGGTGGCACCCCACACGCAGATCGGCGGGGTCAGAGTCCAAAAACACATGGGATTGGAAACATTTCTGAAATTCGGTGGCACCCCACATGCAGATCGGCGGGGTCAGGGTCCAAAAACAAAAGGGATTTGCCACATGTCTGAAATTCGGCGGCACCCCTCACGAAGATCGGCAGGGTCAGGGTCGAAAAACAAATAGGTCCTGACACTGCTTCACGGCAAAGCCAAAGCCTCATGACTTCGCTCTTCCATGGCCCAGTCTCCGAGAGAGAGGGGGCCGGCGGCAGGGGGCGAAGCCCTTACGGACAAAAGTCGGACGAGGATGAATCGAGTCCCCGAGATCCGGCGGATACGGCGGCTCTCGAGAACATCTCTCGAGCGACGCGGCCTTCTCAGAGCGCCCCCGACCGCTCTGAGAGCGCCCTGGAACGCTCAAAGAACGGAGTTGCCCTTGACTACCTACCAAACCACCCCAACCCAACCCGAAGACCCGAATTTCGGGTTGGGGGGGGTAAGGGTTCCATATGTGTTTTTTCGATGTTTCCGGACCCCCCCCCCCACTAGAAATCGAGGGTAAATCTGAGCCTTCGGGTTGGGTTGGGGTGGTCTGGTGGGTGGTGAGCCCTTGCCCCCGCCCCGTCCGAAGTGCCCCCGCGCCGCCCCGTCCGAAGCCCCCGGCGCCGGACCTCCGGCCGGCTCGGCGCTTCCGTCGCCTGTGTAGGGAGCCCACAAAGGACGTACGCGCCCATCCGCGAGACGGGCCGCGTAATACGAACATTTGCGCAACGCGTACTCTCGAAACCAGCTTGGACTCATGTATATGTACGTCCTTCTTTCGCTCCTGACTGTGAGCGCCCGTCCTTGTGGAAGAGCGCGCCCGTGGTGCAGCAGACGGCGGCGCAGATGGTGGAGAAGAGCATGATCACGTGCAGCGCCGTGGTCTCCGTGATGAGGAAGGCCGCGGCGAGGGGGGCCGACATGGAGACCACGGAGCCCGTGGCCGAGATGAAGCCGAGCGCGGTGGCGCGGAGCTCCGTGGGGAAGACCTCGGAGCTACGAAGGAGAGAAAGATACATACATATATATAGAGAGAGGGAGAGAGAGAGAGGGAGAGAGAGAGACGGGGAGAGCGACAGAGAGAGAGAGAAAAACAAATAAGAGACAAAAGCAACAAACAACACATACACACACATATATATATATATACATAGAGAGAGAGAGAGAGAGAGAGAGAGAGAAAGAAAACAAAAAAAAGAGAACAAACAAAAAACGATAGAAAGAGAGAGAGAGAGAGAGGCTCCAGGCTCCCGAAGAGATGGGCGGCCGGGAGCGTCGGTGCACCGAGCTCCCTGGCCGGCCAAACGACGAGGCGCACCGAAGGCTCGTGCCGTGACGACCCCGGCGATGGCTCCCGACGCCGCGTGGACCCTTCGGACCTTCAACGGCCGGCGGCTTGGGGCCGAGCCTGGGCCGCCGGCCGCGCTCCGCCTCGAGCGCCGGCGGCTCGGGACTCGCGGCCGCGAGTCGGCGCGGCAGGAGCCTGCCGCACGCCTCGAGGGCCTCCTCCTCCTCCTCCTCCCCCTCCTCCTCCTCCTCAACCGCCTCCCCCTCCTCCTCCTCCCCCTCCTCCTCCTCCTCCTCCTCAACCTCCTCCCCCTCCTCCTCCTCCTCCTCCTCCTCCTCCTCCTCCTCCTCCTCCTCCTCCTCCTCCTCCTCCTCCTCCTCCCCCCCCGGGAGGCCTCCGGGGAGTAGACGTGGAACAGCGCCCACCCAAACTCCAGGCTGCAGGAGGCGAGGCACGTGCACGCGATGATCAGCACGTACGTCTGCGCGAAGGCGAACACGGCCAGGGACAGGGCGATGCACAGGAGGGCGAGCTGCAGCGGCAGCCTCCGGCCGTGCCGCGCGGTGACCCACATCGCGATGCCGATGCCAGGGAACTGCGACAGGGCGTTGAGCGTCATCGTCTGGTACATGCTCGGCCCCACGAGCCCCTTGTCCTCGAGGCTCGAGGAGCGGACCGGGGGGCGAGGAGGGGAAGGGGGGGAAGGGGAAGCAGGTTTGAGCGCTGTTGGCGCTCTGTGGGGCTCCCGGGGCGCCCTGGTGACTTCGGCTGGATCCGCCCAGACATCCATCAGGGCGTAGGTGGTTTAGGGTGCTGATAACCCATCTGGGCAAGATGAGGACCGATGGGGATGAGGATAAGTCGGAAATCTCTGAGGGCCGGCGAGTCTGGAGGATGTATTGGACGCCGTGGCAGTTTCAGAGCGATCCCGGACGCTGTGAGAGCGTTCTCCACCGCTCTGGAACGGTTTATCCTCATCGCGGGCGGGTCGCGGGCGGATCGCGGGTCGCTGGCGAGAACGACAACAACTATAGCAAACACAACAACATTAAGAACAACATTAACGGAAAGAACGGAAAGAACGGAACGCCTGTGCGGGCATGCGCCTGGGCCCCTGAAGGGCGAGGCCGGTGAGGCCATGGCCTCGCATGAGAAGCTGCGCGCGTCGGGGGTCTACTCAAGACAATGCGTACTTCAGGAGCTGATTTCCCGACAGTCCCCACTCATCCGTTTTCTCATGATGTAGCCACGTCGTCTCGTTGAAATCGTAGTGCTTGTGGTGTGAGACTGTCGGAGAAACCCGTGGGTTTCATCGTCCTTTCTGCTGTGATCTCGAACTCATGGCAAAACACGTTCGAGTTGAACTCCTCGGACCTCCAATCCACTGCACACGGGTGTGGGAGCACTGGCGTTCTCATGAACTCTGTGTCACATCCTTCAGGTACCTCTCAAGAAACATATCACCACAACACCAGCATTAAAAACAACAACGACAACAACAACAAACATAACAACCACAATCACAACAACAACACCACCAACACCAACATCAACAACAACACTGACAACAACCACAACAACAATCATTTGGAGACTATTCGCTCCTATCTGCTCACGTGCCAATCGATGCGTATACCCCAAGCCCTCGGTACCCGCCCTCGTCGTCTTCCATCGTACCCCCTTGGGGGTATATCTTCCTTAGCTGCCACGTGCATTCAGTGCAGCCCCTAAAACAAGGGAAGAGAGGACGGGTGAAGGGGGAGGGAGAAGAATGGAACACGAGCGAAATTAGCAGGAGGGGGGCAAGGAGCAGAAAACAACTGGTAGACCCAGAAGGCCCGATCGGGTGGGCAAACCCTCAGCGGGCAGGTCGGGAAGGCGGGCCCTGGCGACGAGGTCGAGCAGGCGGGTTGCTGAAGCGTGGGTCCCGCATGAACCGCGAGGAAGTCCCGAGCGATAGCGCGATTCCCAAGTAAATCGTGAGAGTAGCCTGAGCGAGGAGAGCGTGATGCCTGAGCGCCGAGGTCGCATCGTCTGAATACATTGCGAGGAAGTCCCACGCGAGAGCGCGATGCGTGCATGAATTGTTCGGAAATCCCACGCGAGAGCGCGATTTGAAAAATAAAGTGTGCGGACAGATCAGACGGTAGCCGTTGCTGTTGTAAACCGGGAGCCAGGGGCCCAGCTCGACCCCCGTGACGTTCCAGGATAAAAAAAACAGGGTGCGAGCGCCGGGGAAGCACTTCAATTGAAAAAGCACGATGGTCATCGGAGGGGGGATCAACAATACTCATCCTTCAGTAGTGAGAGTTAAAAAACAACATCAACAGCAGACACAACACAACAACAACAATCATTTTACCCTCATGCGCGATGCTTCCACACGCAGCATGTGACCATCATGATAACCATCCCCATCATGGAGGATAATTGTTTTATCGCGGGGGTCCGTTAGTCCCTTTCCCAGATCTCCCGCCAAAATGAGGATTGGCTTGCTGAAGAGAGTAGGGCGCTAGTCTGGGGGAAAATTAAACGAAGTCTCGGGCGGGACCGCTGGTTTTGTTGGGACGGCGGTTGTCGGCGGCGAGAATGAATACCGCCTTGAGTAAGAAGGGAAGATGTCTCGAGCGGGAGCCGCAGTTTTGTCAGGGCGGGGGCTGTCGGCGGCGAGGAACAGCACCTTCCTCAGGAAAAAGGGGGAATGCCTCGAGCGGGAGCGTTGTTCTTGCTGGGGGCGGCGCCAATTAAAAAGAGAGTTGGGCTCCAGTCAAGCGTAAAATGGGAGGAAGTCTCGGGCGGGAGCGCTGGTTTTGCAGGGGCGGCGGTTTTCGGCGGCGAGCAAGAGCACCAGCTCTGACTAAAAAAGGGAGGAAGAAGTCTCGAGCCGGAGCGTTGTTCTTGCTGGGGGCGGCACCGATGAGAGGAAGTCTCGGGCGGGAGCGCTGGTTTTGTCGGGAGGGGGGCTGTCGGCGGCGAGCAAGAGCACCGCCTTGAGTAAAGAAGGGCGGGAGTCTCGAGCGGGAGTGGGGGGCGGCGCCGATGAGAGAAAGAATAGCGCGCCTGTCCAAGGTAAAACGGCAGGAAGCCTCGACCGGGAGCGCTGGTTTTGTTGAGACGGCTGCTTTCGGCAGCGAGCAAGGGCACCGGCCATGAGTAAAAAAGGAGGATATCTCGAACGGGAGCGTTGTTGTTGTTGTGGGGCCGGTTTGGGCGGTCCCCCAAACCGCTTGAGAGTGAGCGTCACTTTCAATGAAAATGCAGCCGGCGCCTCGGCGAGTGTGCCAAAGCGCCTGTATGGGGTCCAACAAGAGTAACTGTTTAGTCATAAACATTCAACAGCAGCATCAACACAACAATTAACAAAAGCCATAACAATAATAACAACAACAACAATCATAACTTTACCCTCATGCGAGGTGTGTCCACACGAAGCATGCGACCATCATGACAACCATCCCCATCTTGGGAGATTCTTGTTCTATCGCGGGGGTCCCCTAGTCCCATTCCCAAATATCCCGCCCAAATGAGGTCTTGCAAACACCTCTTCCGAGGAATTTCAACATATCCCGCCTCGAAAACACATGCTCGCGCCCTGCTGTGCCGAAGCGAGACCGCCAGTGGAACCCCAGCCAAGGGTAAAGCACAAAGAAGTATCGAGCGACAGGATTGGCTTGATGGGGATGGGGGCTGTCGGCGGCGAGGCAAGGACCTGGCCCTGAATAGAAAGGGAGGAAGTCTCGAACAGGGCCGCTGTTGTTGCTGGGAGCGGCGCCAATGCTGAAGAGAGTAGGGCGCTAGTCTGGGGGAAAATTAAACGAAGTCTCGGGCGGGACCGCTGGTTTTGTTGGGACGGCGGTTGTCGGCGGCAAAGAAAAACACCGCCTTGAGTGTACGAAGGGAGGAAGCCTCGAGCGGGAATCGTGGTTTTGTCGGGACGGGGGCTGTCGGCGGCGAGGAACAGGACCGTCTGGAGGAAAAAGGGAGGAGGCCTCGAGCGGGAGCGTTGTTCTTGCTGAGAGCGGTGCCAATTCAAAAGACAGTATGGCGCCAGTCCAGCGTAAATCGGGAGGAAGTCTCGGACGGGAGCACTGGTTTAGTCGGGACGGCGGCTTTCGGCGGCGAGGAGGAGCACCGCCTTGAGTAAAAAAGAGAGGAAGTCTTGAAGAAGGGTGAGGAAGAGGAGGAGGAGGAGGAGGCGGAGGAGGGAGATAGATGAGGCAGGAGGAGGAGGCGGGCGCAAGGGGGGAGGGGGGAGTAGGAGGAGGGAGGGAGGCCTAAGAGACCATAGGTAGGAGAGAGGAGGAGGAGGAGAACGACCAGGAGGGGGATGATGGGGGGAGGGGCACCAGGAGGAGGGAGGAGGAGGAGGAGGAGGAAGAGGAGGAGGAGGACCTCGGACACCACTGGACGTGCACACCCCTAAAACTTTAATCCAACAACTTGAATCGAAAACTTTAGTTATGACCTGGAATCTCGGGCACCGAAAACTTTAATCAACAAAAATTCAGTTATGACCCTAAGGTGGCGGGCGCGCACCTTAGGGGTACAGACCTTCCGGGCGCGCCGGTTCGTCGTAAGGGGGGGTCGTCGTCATCGTCGTCGTCGTCGTCGTCGTCGCCGCGCGCCCAGATGGTATAAGATGTGGGGCTCAGAGCCCCCCCCCTTACAGCAGGGCGGCGGGCCCAAGAAGCGTCGGTCATGGCTAACGCCTTGGGGTTATGGCACCCTGGGGCGCGCGGGAAGTCTGTAACCCCCCAAGAGTCCGAGACGACGACGACGACGACGACAACGACGACAGCGGCGGCGGCGGCGGCGGCGGCGACGGCGACGGCGACGGCGACGGCGACGGCGACGACGACGACGAGGAGCATTGTTCTTGCTGGGAGCGGCGCCAATTCAAGAAAGAGTAGCGCGCCAGTCCAAGATACAACGGGAGGACGTCTCGAGTGGTAGCGCTGGTTTTGGGACGGCGGCTTTCGGCGGCGAGCACGAGCACCGACCCTGAGTTTAAAAGGAGGAAGTCTCGAGCGGGAGCGTTATTGCTGCAGGGGGGCTGGTTTTGGCGCCCCCCCCAAACCGCTCGAGCGTGAGCCTCATGTTCAATGAATATGTAGCCAGCGCCCAGGCGAGAGCGCCAAAGCGCCTGGGAGGTCCAACAATACCAGCTGTTTAGTAATTAACATGCAACAACAGTAACAGCAGCGGCAACAACACCACACCACCATCAACAACACAAATCATGTTACCCTCATGCGCGATGTTTCCACACGAAGCATGAGACCATCATGATAATCATCCCCATCATGGGGGATTATTGTTCGATAGCGGGTTCCGTTTTTCCCATTCCCAAATATCCCGCCCAACAAGGTCTTGCAAACACCTCCTCCGATGAATCTCGACATATCCCGCCTAGAAAAAACATGCCATGCCCGCGCCTTGCTGCGCCGATGCGAGACCGCCAGTGAAACCCCAGCCAAGAGTAAAACATAAGGAAGTATCGAGCGACAAGATTGCCTTGGTAGGGATGGGGGCTTTCGGCGGCGAGGCAAGCAAGGACCTGGCCCTGAATAGGAAGGGAGTAAGTCTCGAACAGGGCCGCTGTTGTTGCTGGGAGCGGCGCCAATGCTGAAGAGAGTAGGGCGCTAGTCCAGCGTA